GAAGGGGTGGGGCACTGGTGGGGGCGGAGTAGAAGGCATTGTTGAAGTATGGCGCAGGGGCTTGTGTTGTCGTACATCTGATGATAACACCGCTTGAGGGGTGTTTTGCTTTTGTGGTGGAGAGGAGGGGGGGTGCGGAGGAAGGGGGAAGGCTTGTCTGTGCGTCTGTCTCCGAATGTATGGGGGCCCCCGGGTTGGGGGGATGAGGGGAACAGAGTGTGGAAGGACCGCAGGGACCCTGTTGGGGTTTTTCCTTATTGTTGCCGGATTACCCCTAGCAAGGGGAGACGGGGACTGGAAAGAGAGTGTGGTTGGCGCTGAATCGCAACAGGCTTGACCTGGTAAGACTACACCTACCCATCCGCTCCCCTCTCCTCGCCCCGCCCCGCCCCGCCCCGCCCCACCACCGTCCAGGCCGCCCGGCTGATCGAGGCCGCTCAGGCCAGTGGTGGCTGGGTGGTGCTCCAGAACTGCCACCTGGCAGTCAGCTGGATGCCCACCCTGGAGCGCCTGTGCGAGGGGCTGTCACTGGAAAACACATCACCCGCCTTCCGCCTGTGGCTCACCTCCTACCCCTCACCCGCCTTCCCGGTCAGTGTACTGCAAAACGGCATCAAGATGACCAACGACCCGCCCAAGGTGAGGAGAGGGCACACACGTGGGGCCGCCCCTCTCGTACTGCGTTGTATTTATTGCAACGGTGTAGGGGGTTAAGTAGCGGAGTGTGGATGGGTGAAGAGCTCAGGGGAGTGAGGGGAGAAAGAGGCGGATGGGGGAACCTCGCGACCTGATCCGCACACACTGAAAAACCGTACCTGCTTTCACTACTGCCCGTCCCTTCCCCCTTTTTTCACCCCCCCTTGCCCCTTTTCCCCTCGCCATTTCTCCACCACCCACATCTCCCACCCTTCCCATTTCCCCCCCCCCCTGTTGGGCACCACCGCTGTGATAACATCGACCCGCTGTGATTGATTTCGCGTTCGGGTTACCTCCTGGGGTGAGGTGGGGTAGCCGCACCCCCTGTCCGTATCCGCATCTGGCCCGCACCGTACTGGTAGCTCCCGACCCCCTTGCACCCACACGCAACCCGCACCCGCGCATTCACCCCTTCCCTCGCTTCTCCACGCACACGTATACATACATACATACATACGTACATACATACACCTCACCCCCACCTCTGCCAGGGTCTCCGTGCCAACCTGCTTGGCTCCTACCTGAGTGACCCCGTCAACGACAACTCCTTCTTCGAGGGCTGCTCCCGACCAGCCATATTCAAGAAGCTGCTGTTCGGTCTCTGCTTCTTCCATGCCTTTGTGCAGGTGCGGCCGTGCAGTGCGGGCGGGGTATCTGTCTGTGTGCCTGTGTGTCTGTGTGTGTGTGTGTGTGTGTGTCTATGTGTCTATGTGTCTATGTGTCTATCTGCCTGTCTATCTGTCTGTCTATCTGTCTGTCTATCTGTCTGTCTATCTGTCTGTCTATCTGTCTATCTGTCTATGTGTATGTTCCCCCTCTCCCCCTCCCACCCGGCGCCCTCTTCACCCCCTCGCCGCACCCGCAGGAGCGGCTCAAGTTCGGTCCCCTCGGATGGAACGTGCCGTACCAGTTCTCCGCCCCCGACTTCGTCATCTCCGCCCGCCAGCTGCAAATGTTCCTCAACGAGATGTCCCCCGCCCCCGGGGACGCCTCTCCCATACCCCTGCCCGCGCTGCGCTACCTCACCGGCGAGTGCAACTACGGCGGCCGAGTCACCGACGCACACGACCGCCGCACCCTCATGTCCATCCTGGACATCTTCTACTGCCCCGCAGCGCTGCAAGACGGCTACTCGTTCTCACCGTCGGGACGGTACTATGCGCCGCCGGAGGGCCTCGTGGACGCGTACTTGTCGTACATCCGCGGATTGCCGATTCAGGCGGAGCCGGAGGTAGGTGGGGCGGCGGGGAACTGGAGGAGAACGGTAGGTGTGTGTGCGTGTATGTGAAGGAATTCCCCGCGCCACCATCCCTTTTCCCCTTTCCCAGGCCTTTTCGGTCCCCCGTATTCTTTACCCCCTTCTGTGCTCTTCCCGAACAACCTCCCTTTTCAACCACCTCAACCACCTCTATAACCACCTCCCCCCGGACCGCCCTCATACCAGCCCGCCACCCCACAAGGAACCCCCGTTGCCCGGTGTGCCCTCTTATCCCGCACCCGCACCGTCGGCAGCTGTCCTCCTTGTCATTGTCCTGCACATCCCCCGTGTAACTCTCAGCCGCCCCACTGTTGCCGCTCCTTGTTATTGTTTGCGTTCAGGTCTTTGGTCTGCACGCCAATGCGGACATCACCAAAGACCAGCAGGAAACAGATCTGATGCTGTCTTCGCTGCTGGCGGCATCGTCTGGCGGCGGCGCTGGCGGCGGTGGCGGCGGCGGCGCGTCGGAGCGCGACGCCGTGTTGGCGGAGGTGGCGGCGGACATCACGAGTCGGGTACCGCAGCCGTTCGACATTGAGGCGGTTCGCTTCAAGTACCCCGTGGACTACTACGAGTCCATGAACACGGTGTTGTGCCAGGAGCTGGTGCGGTTCAACAGGCTGCTGGAGGTGCGTGTGTGTGTGTGTGTGTGTCTTGTGAAAGTGGGCGGTAGGCGTGGGATTAGGGACGGGGGTAGAGGGGAGGGGAGCGTGTGTATTGCAAAGATACCAAGGGGGGAAAAGGGAAGGGGCATGAAGGGGACTGGATCTCCGCGGGGAAATAGGGGCGGGCCTCGGAGCAGCACGGGGGACCCGCGAGTCCAAAATGGACCCTCACAAAGATGCATGAATACATACATACACACGCACCCATCCACTCATCCCTCCTTCTTCCCTGCCGCTTCTTCCCCTCGCCCCGCCTGCCCCCCTACCAGGTGATCCACGACAGCCTGGCCGCCCTTCAAAAGGCCCTTCGCGGCCTCGTGCTCATGAGCTCCGACCTGGAGGCGCTAGGTGGGGGGGAAGGGTGTGTGTGTTTGGGGGGTAGAGGGGAGGGGGAGGGAATCCACCAATGGAGAGGGGAGGGCTGAGAAAGGAGAGACATCCCACCGTCATGGCAAGGGGAGGCGGTAACTGGGGACGGAAGGAAGCGGATGAGGTCTGTGGCGATGGGGGGAAGTAGCAGCTAGTTATAGGAGGTTGTGGAGGTGGAGGGAGCTGTGTGCGCCGCTTTGGTTTCCTCCTGTTATCGCGGAGGGGGTTAGGTAGAGGTTAACCTACTACATCCCTTCATGCATTCTCTCGCCTACGTCTTTCCCTTCCTTTCCCCCTCCCCCTCCCCCCATAATTACCCCCATAGTTACCCTATGTATCCTCTAAGCCACCTCCACACAAATGCTCCAACCCGCCCGCACAGGCTCGTCCATGTACGATGGCCGTGTGCCCAAGCTTTGGATGGACAAGAGCTACCCCTCCCTGAAGCCCCTGGCCCCCTACGTGGCCGACCTCATAGAGCGGTGCCGCATGATGTCCGAGTGGGTGGCGCACGGGCCCCCACCGGTTTTCTGGATCAGCGGCTTCTACTTCACACACGCCTTCCTGACGGGCGTCAAACAGAACTACGCGCGCAAGCACCGCATCCCCATTGACACCATCACCTTCAACTACGCCTGCTTGGCTGGACATGTGGAACATTACAAGGTGCGTGTGTATCTATTTATGTATGCGTGTGTGTATGTATGTACATATTCGTGCATGTTGTTTGGTATCTGTGTGTGTGTGTGTGTGTTATGGGGGGAGGGAGCCTCGGGCGGGAGAGGGGGACCGAGTGGCGATGTGTCGGGTACGGTGGAAAGGGGTCGCGACAGGGCGTGGGTGTATGTGTGTACGCGTATATGTGTGTATGTGTGGTGGTGGGAGAGGGGTGGGGTGGGGGCTGGAAGCCAACCTGGGCTATTGCTATTGCTACTACTGCCACTGCATTTGGTGCGGCTGTAGCACTACTGCCTGTAGGCCCCCCGACCCCCCGACCCCTCCCCTCCCCCCCCCCCC